TGCATTCAAAGGACGACCCTGTAAGCACCAAGGAGAGATTCAGAAGCAAGGTGTTGACAGCGGACAGCTTACTGCTAAGACAGCCACTTTTGTTTGTTTTCTCCAGGTGGTATCTTCAAAGGCGCTTATATCAAAAAAGACTTTTGCAGAGTAACCCACCTTAGCTAAATAGGGCTTCCAGATATTCTAAATTCCAAAGGATCTTGGAAGCTAGAAACCCAGAATGGTTTCTAGTCAGTTATTTAAGATAATATATTGAGTAAAGCTTCATGGTCGTAGTTGGTTCCTGTTGTGTTGTTGTTATTTTTAGATAAGCATAAGAATGAGCGAAAATGATTTCCAATTCATTTTGTTTACATTTTAATGCACGTCTGCCTGCAGACCTCCAATTTCTCCGTGAAGATCTAGCTTAGATTCTTCCTCCTCTGTAAAGTCTTCTCTTGAATGTACCAGAGATTAACACAAAGGCTCCCCACGTTTGTGGTAGAAATAGGCTAGCTACCCAGAATTTGTTCCCATGAGATATAGTTCTGCCCCACAAAGTAGGTCATCAGTTTGCTCGAAATTGTGTGAGAGGAGCATTTTGACCTTGGCATGACTCTCATCTGACCCCACAAGGTGCCATTCAGGCCCATTCTTGATCTTCCAGATGGAGAGCTGGGAGAGGGAATTTGGTAAAAGTGGACCATTCAGCTCACTGGCCATTGGCTTGAAGGCGGCAGAGATGGTCCTCATCAAGTTTCCTTTCAGCCGAACTGACAGAGCAAAAACATCTCTAAGAGGATTAGCCACACTCAAAAAAAGCACACTCACACAGAAACTCACACACAAGTTCACTTATACAGACCCTTTCTGAATGGTTCATAGTAGAATAAGGAAATCTGAGGCCTTTAGGATCTCTTATTATTGACCCAGTGTTTGCAGATGCTTTAGAGGAGATGCCACATCTCCATCTTTTACCTCAAAAATGCTTTACAGTGTGCGATAGTTGCGGTGTAATCCGCTGTACTTGTTTTGTACCAACTTCTAGGGTGTCTAGAATAGGCAGATCCATAGAGACAGAAAGTAGATTGGTAGTTGCCAGGGGCTGGGCGAGGGGGAATAGGGGTGACTGCCAATACGTGCAGGGTTTCTTCTTGGAATAATGAAGATATTTTGGAATTTGATACTGGGGACGATTGCACAAGATTGTGAATGTACTAAATGCCACTGAACTGTGCAGCTTAAAAGGGTTATTTTTACGGGATGTGAATTAAATCTCAATTTAAAATGTTTTAGGGGATTTGATTAACTTAGAATTTAATTAATAAGTTTACATTTCATGTATTTAAGTACAATTATGACTAGAAACTTAAGAGGGCATTCATTCCTATAGATTCTCTCCTGTTATTGTGGATCAATTTGGGCACTGGGTATGTTAGGACTTTAGCAGTGCATACATATAAACATAGTTACTGAGCTTTTTATCTTTTTATGGACTTCAAATGTGTGCCCATGTCTCTTTGCTTTAATTAAGTGCATTATATTTAAACATGAACTCTTCTGTGCAGTAAAAAGTGCAATGATGTAGAGAGTTTAATATCCGTCATGAGATTAAGACATACCTTGGTCAACAATATCTTTCACCAAGGTTGAGCAATTTACCTAAAATAAATTATTAACATTAGCCATAGACACATAAATATAATTTTATTCACAAACACGTAAATCATTTTTTTCTCAATTCCACATAGAGAAAGCCCTCGTCCTTGCGTATGAGTGATGGACGGTTTCAGATACACCAAAATTAAGTGTATCCAGGAAATCCAGACTTGCCTCATCAAGCAATTGTAGACAAATCTAGATGTCTTCTTTCATTTCTTTGCTCTCTTATTTGTATCTTCGTTCTTTCACTGAACAAATATTGATAGCTAGTTATCTGCCGAGCACTTTGCTATTCTAGATGAGGCAAGCAGGGCGGAGTAGAACAGGAAGGGAGCAACACCCATTCGGGTAATCTAGGTCTCCTCCCCGCCCCCATGGCTGCCCTGCCCATTTAGGGTCACTGAACCATCACAGTGGCCTCTGACCAGGCTCCCTACTCCAGAACAGGGAGCTCCCATTCCTCCCAAAACCAGACAAAGCCAGTTTCCTGGAGCTCTGATTCGGTTGTATCTTCCTCTGCAGAAAGTTCCAGTGGCTCCGTTTTTCCTATAGGAAATGTTTAGACTCCTTAGGCTTGTATTTGCTCTCACTGGACCCAAGCCTTCCCTTTCACCATTCCCTTGACCTCTCACAATGGTGACCATGAATGGAACCTTCCAGACAGCCATGCCTGCATGCCTGAAGTGGTCCTGCTGCTGGACCTTTGCTCTGGATACTTTTTTTTTTTTTTTTTTTTTTTTTCCATCCTCTTGCCCTCATTTTTATCCTTCAGCATCCTGTTTGTCTCTCAGGACCCAACTACGACGCCTCTGCCTAATCAAAGCTCTGTTTATTGAGCACTTATTATGTGCCCCACATCACATCGTGGTAAGCACCGCGTGCACATGATCTGATTTAGCCCGTACCCTGACCCCATGAGCTGGGCATTATACCCAGATACAGAAACTAAATTGATGCCTCCCATGATCATCCCAAGGATGATCTGTCCACATCTGTCCACATCCTTGTCTAGCATCCACACTTTGTACTGTAGGTAATTCATGCTGTCTTATTTTTCCTACCATATTTTATACCCCTTGAGATTTGATCTTGTCTTATAAAACTTTATGCTCAGCGTCTTGCCTATAGTAGGGGCCATTAAATGTTTACCAAAAATTTTATTTGGATACATTTTACACAGTTAAGTATAATAAGTATCCCCACTTTCACAAAGTACCTTTCAGTTCAGGGAGTCAAGAAGGCAATGACGGTACCAAAAGTTAAGCATCCAGGACAGGAAATACGGGTAACTCAGAATCATGACAACATTTATCTTTACCTAGCATTAGATGCATTTCAGTCATTCATCACAACAGAATTTGGGGGTCAAGATACGTAACTGAGTTAATGTGTTTTCTTGTGAAGTTAAGTTTCCTGACCCTGTGTTCTTGGAGTTTTTTTGTAGGTGGCTATTGTATATGTCCACATGCAAGGGCACATGGGCACACATGTATTTGTATGTTCTGTTGGTCCTGGAAATGCAGGAGCTGATGAACATTAGCAGATTCATTCCACCTCTAGCTGTGTTCTCATTTCCAAGCTAACCCATGATACGTACATGCAGATATTTATGGGAAGAGTAGCTCTTCAAACATGTAACACTGGCCTGGCTTTGTGTTCCCTCTCCCTACCCCATACATTCCTGTCTGTCTGTCACAGCAGCAGAGTGAGCAAAGCACAGGGCCGAGGTCAGATGCTATACGGTAATAGCACTAATCATCAGAGCCATTCTTCTGTCCCTAATGCATAGAATTTGATGTGCTCATTTCATTATATATATGCTGCAAATCACACAAGCTCCTGAATAGAAGTAATTTGTAGTTAATGGGAATCAATTCTACCCAAAAGAATCTCAAATTTGGAGGTGAGATCTCTCAAGATAATTTCTGGAATCTTTACTTCACTACATTAGGACATTTCATCATTTTAGGTAGCTCTCAGTCTGTTCTTGGGCTTTTAGGGAAAAAGCATCATTCTATAAGACAGGGAATCTTTTTAATATAACGGTAATGGATGCATTATATTAAGCATGACTTTTATGACTATTGTTTACCTAATAGCTCATATTCTGGTATACACAGAGGTAAATATAGACTCATGTAAGTATCCTTGAATATATTAGATTTCAAGGGAAGTAAACGAAATCACAGTTCTGACATTGTGACAGTTCTGACATCATGAATACAATGCCATGAGTTCTGTGATGTGAGTAAAAATTCAGCTATAAGGGTCCATATAATTTTTTATGACTGTATCTGTAGGCTTGATCACTGGCCCACATAGAAAATAAAAGTAGCGTGAAATAATTCCTAGATCTTAGTACTCTCGAGCAGAGCCTCATCCAGGAATCCTCGTCTCCAGGACGACATCCATCCGCCCTCATCGGTTTACGAGTAAGCATCCGTGGACACTCCGACAGGACTTACGACTTTGGAGATCAGAAAGGTTCTGGATATTCTGAGCCCTAAACAACCCCCGCAGTTGTAATACAACCCCAAAGAAAGTGTTTTAGTGATATCTAACCCGGGAGAGGCTGCAGGCAATTTTTTTTTTTTTTCTTTTTACTGTGTCAATGTGTAAAGAGCTCATTTTCAAAGGAGGTAGAGTGATATTAGGTCTGAGAACCAGGACATTTGTAAGAAAGGTCTTCACACCAGCTCTCCCCAAAGCGTTCTCCTCATTAAAGGATGGGTGTCCTTTAGCCGCCTTCTGTTATCATCAGCAGTATCATCACCACCATCCTCATCATCAGATTATCTCTTGAGCACCACGTGACACCATACTTCTTCCTACTCACAGGATAAATGCTTCCAAGAACATAAGCGCAATTTACACGTTCTCCGCTCACCCTGAGCACTCTCTAAAATAATAGTGTATTCAAGTTGGATTCTTAAAGGTTTATTAAACCTTTGCACCATTTAGAGGGTTTTGAACACCTCACAGCCTTGTGATCGTGCTTTGAAAGAATTAAAAATATAATGAGTAGCCACAAAAGACCGTCGGGCGGGGGAATAATCGCTTTGATAACAACCTATTCTTTCATCCTTGGGGCATTTGGCAGAAACCGTACGTGTGCAAAATCCCCGGCTGCACCAAGCGCTACACAGACCCCAGCTCCCTCCGGAAACACGTGAAGACCGTGCACGGCCCCGAGGCTCACGTCACCAAGAAGCAGCGTGGGGACGTGCATCCCAGGCCCCCGGCGCCACGAGATTCCGGCGGCCACTCACAGTCTAGGTCACCAGGCCGGCAGACTCAGGGAGCCCTCGGGGAGCAAAAGGACCTCAGCAACACTACCTCAAAGCGGGAAGAATGCCTCCAAGTGAAAACGGTCAAGGCGGAGAAGCCCATGGTATGTCATTCGCTTTCCTTCTGGTTTTCCCCCAAAGTCCTCCCAGGTCTTTAAAGGGGCCAGGTAGGGCGCTGAGGGCAGGGGCGAGGGGCGGACTTCACTGCCCCGTTCTCACTGCATCCCACTGTTTGATTTACGGAGGTCAGAGCTCCCTGATCCGGATGGCCTACCCCAGGTTGATCTGCACAGCAGAGCTCAGCTCAGAAAAGAGTTCCAGGGTTTCCTAACTGGTTTTTGAAATCCATCTGGAAGCATCCCACCTTGTGGCAGGTCGACAGACACCACAGTGCACATTTTCAGCAGGTCTCTAATGTAGAGAATCCTCCGTTCAGTCCTTCTGTAAACGTATTTTCTGACTTCTTTGCCTTGGTGACCCCAAGATAAATAAGCCACGGCCCCTATTCTTTATGGGTCTGTAGTCCAGTGGGATAGCGAGACCAAGAAACAAACACAACTCAGTGTGATGGGGCTTTAAGACAAGTCTGGGTCAGAGGGTTCGGAGCCAGTGCACTTGAGGACACGACGGGAGGGCAGAGGGCAGGTGGCCTCCAGGTTCAGTGCTCAGAGAGGCGAAGGACCGCATGCTGGAGAGCAGGACCAGGAGCGGCCAGGCCCCAGCCTTGGGGCCCCGGGGGAATGTGCCAGAGTAAAAAGAGGGGGAGGATATAAAGGGATTTTTTTTTAGGTTTTCTAAGTTGTTAGAAAAGACAACTCCAGTGCCAATCTAGAGACTGGCTGATAGGCTTCGAGACCATATCTGCAGTGGTGCCTGAACTGAGGAGGTGGAAAGCAAGGGAGGGATTTGAAAGACATCATCAGCAAAAATCGTATGGTTTGATGACAAATAGGAGACATGGATTAAGCTACTGTTGCAGCTTCTTTCAAACTTCACTTGGTGATTTTGCCTTATGCATGGGCCAGAATGAACTATCTAAAATTTTTCCAAAGACAACGAGAAAAATGAAGAGAGTAGCGATCAGAGGAGATTTAGTACATTTGTGTTTGGCATATGTATAATGCGGTCAGCTCTGCGCTTTGGGCTCTAGTCTGTCAATCTCGGGATGTGGAAGAAACGTACTAAGTAGAAGTCACAGGCTTAGACTTCCAGATGCATGGAAATGACCAGACAGGCAGATTTCTACTCAGTTCAAGGAAGCATTTGCTTAAAATTAGAAAAGTCCAAGAATTATATGGACATCCTGTGAATTCCTAAGTTATGTCACCATGTAGCGGTATGTCTGGGCGGGAATTAATGCACATAAAATTTCAGAATCGATAGAGTGGAGTTTAATGACTTACTGAGTTTGTCTTTCAACTCTTACGAGTCTTAGAAAGTGACACTAAGTCTAGCCCCAAATCATGCAAATAATCTATCCAGATGTATCATTATTTCCCAGGGGGTAGCCCTACTTTGCTTTTAAAAAACACCTTAGTAAGAAGTTTATATACGTGTTATGACTGATCACTATACTTTTAAATTAATCAATTTGTAAACTGTGTTTTATATACTTTTTTGGGGGGGAGCATTTATCAATTTCCTAAAATAAAGTCCACCTATATAATAATTGTGCAAAAGACTCAACCGTTTATCCTCAAGTGTTTAATGAAACAAGGGAAGTGAATTTGTGGTCTCCTAGATTATGTCATTGAAAGACAATGATTTATGTTTTTAGGACATCCTGGGAACCCAGAATCCCTTGTACTTTTTTTTTTTTTTTTTTTCGGTACGGGGGCCT